TGGCTGGTGGGGACAAGAGAGAGGGTCCTTTTGGTGGTGACCCCCTGGCTTTGGAATGCCCTCCATAAAGTTACAAGGTTAGCCCCCATTCCAAGCTTTCTGGACACAATTGAAAATGGCTTTTTGTACAAGCCTTTGGGCCATGATTAGTACCTTAAACACAAAACCCAAGGACCTAGTGATCAATTTATGCTAGCACTTTATAGGCTGAGATGGTACACAGTTTTTTTTTATCTGCAGCCTTGCTGCTTCTGTTCGATTTTAAATTGACATGATTCAGTATGCTGTCTTATTTAAATGTATGTTGGTTTTATGCAAACGTATGTTGTTTATGTAAATATATGCTGTTTTGTTGCTGTACTATTGTGTGCTTTTTATATGCCGGGTATAAAATTAAAAAATAATAATAAAAGAAAATAATAAAATTCAAATCGCTGTAGGTTTTTCAGGCTATATGACCATGTTCTAGAAGCATTCTCTCCTGACGTTTCACCTGCATCTGTAGCAAGCATTCTCAGAGGTTGTGAGGTCAACCTCTGAGAAAGCATTTTTCTCAGGAGAGAATGCTTCTAGAACATGGCCATATTGCCCATAAAACCTACAACAACCCAGTGATTCCAGCAGAGAAAGCCTTCGACAATAAACTCTCTTAGTGGTGCTGCCTATGGAGAGAGGGAGGAGAAAGAGGGCAGAGGGAGGTTCCCCACCACCCCTGCCGCTCTCCCTGCTCTACTTTCAAGGCCGTTCTCTGCCCCTGCCACTCTCCTCCTCAGAAGGCCACTGGGTTCACCGAGGCCCAAGGAAGCACTTCCGGACTATGACTCCCAGAATGCCTCAGCAGGTACATCCAAGGCATGCTGCTGCCCAGGTCTGCTGGAAGACGTTGTCTAGAGGCACTTCCTTGAGCTTAGGCAAGCCTATTAGCCTTCCGAGGAGGGGGGCAGAGAAGGGCCTTGAAAGTAGAGCAAGGAGAGCGGCGAGACAACTCAGCAGGCCACCATCCCCGGCCGGTCTCCATGACAATGAGACCTGCCGCTCCTCCTCCCCGTGCCATCCTGCCCTCTGCCCTCCTCTTCCTCCCTCCCTTGCCCTGCATTGACAAGGTTTGCACTTGGGATTTCTTGTGACTAGATGGGCATAGTGTTGGTAGAGGGGTAGCCTTATACAGTGAGTACATTCCTAACTGTATTTTATCTTGAAAAGTTGGGGATCATCTGGTCATCATATACTCCCAGTTGTCTTGTATTCCAGAAAATACGGTACATAAAATAATGCAAATTCGTTATTGCATCTTTCTGTTTGTTCATTAAACAAAAGCAGATTTCCAGGGGAAGTGGGAAGGGAGGGCAAAGTATTTTTTTTTCTGAAAAGGGAGCAGTAGGCCAAATACAAATTTCAGAGGTTGCACACGTGGCAGTTAAAATAGAATTTGAGTGATATAATTGTCTAGTGTGAATAGGCCTTATAGAAGACAGCTGAAGAACTCAAAAGATTGCATACTTCTTTATGACTTAATTGTTAATTTTACTTCCTCCATGAACCAGCATGGTTCCTTTTGTTTTTAGTAGGACAAATTGGTTCTCTCACTGGCATTTTAGTATCAGAAATTATCTGACAGTGTCATGTTGGGAGCAATGCAGCTTGATATCTGTTCTGACACTTACTAACTATGCCTTTTTAAAAGTTTATGTTTACTTTGGGAAACTAGTTAATATGCCTATTCTTGAGTCTCATCTTTTATTGACTGATTTATTGCACAAATGCCTGCATCCTCAGCTGGCCCTCTCGCACTATAAATAACAGTGTTACAAAGTCATGCTGATGTCACAGCTAACTTGTTTAATCTATCTGAAAGAGATAATTGTATTTGTTTAAAACCGTGTTGAATAATTGCAAGCAGGGGGAAAAAAGGCCCCAGGATAGAACTGCGAAATGGAAATGCTAATTTTTGAAATCTGGTGACTGAAGTTACATAAGCTTATCAGGAAACCTGGGGTTAAGCATGATAATCATTGTATAGTTTCCACGTCCACAGATAAGAATAATACAGAACTTACCCAGCCTTGTTCATTCCTGTGTACCTACCAGCATTCTCTCTCTCTCTCTCTCTCTTCCAATTAGCTTCCTGTTTAAAAACCATTTGGTCAGTAGCATGAAAAACATCTTCCCCCCAGCCTCTTTACTTAAGAGATTTTGGGTGACCTAGACTCAAATCACCCCTGGTTCACTCATTCTCTAGGACTTAGAAGGTTTGAGGTCCATTAAGTATACTTTTTTGAAGTATTGCCTCTTTGGTATGATTATGACTTTTCTTTGCATATAAATCATAGAGTTGGAAGAGACCCCAAGGGCCATCCAATCCAACCTCCTGATATGCTGGAAAACAGTCAAAATGCTCCAGACAGATGGTCATCCAACCTCTGTTTAAAATCTTCCAGAGAAGGCAAATCCAGCACACTCCCAGGCAATGAATTCTACTGTTGAACAGCTCTCTTACCATTAGGAAGTTTTTCATAATGTTTATATGTAATACCTTTTCCTGTGGCTTGAATCCCATTGCTCTGTGTCTCAAATCAAATCATTTATTTCGGTCATTGACCAGCACTCCGTGTCTCACTTTCTGGAAGAGAAAACAAGCTTCCCCCTCCTCAACATAATATCATACTATGTTCCCTCAACCTTCTGTTCTCCAAGGTAAACATATTCAGCTCCCTCAGCAGTTCCTCATAGGGCTTAGTTTCCAAACCTTAGCTCATTTTGATTGCCCTTCTCTCTCTCAACATGTTCCAGTTTGTCCATATCCTTCTTGAATTATGGTGTCCAGAATTGGACACAATATTCCAGGTGGGGAATAGAGTGAGCGAGCATATCATTAACATGGGTTTGATGTGTGACTTGTCATGCACAAGAAAGACTATATTGTCAAAGGCATTCATGGCCAGAATCACTGGGTTATTGTAAGTTTTTCGGGCTGTATGGCCATGTTTCAGAAGCATTCTCTCTTGACATTTCACCTGCATCTATGGCAGGCATCCTAAGAGGTTGTGAGGTCTGTTGGAAACAAGGAAAACGAGGCAGTAAGAAGCTACACCTTGAAACTGCTAGACCATTAAATGCTGATCAAGGTGACCCGTTGCAACATTCACAGCTACCTCCAACAGACAAGGGCTTTTTCTTCCACCCTGGACATTTCACAGATAAATAAGCCCATTTTCCTAGTTTCCACCAGACCTCACAACCTCTGAGGATGCCTGCCATAGATGCAGGCAAAACATCTGGAGAGAATGCTTCTGGAACATGGCCATACAGCCCAAAAAGCTTACAACACAAGAAAGACTTCTCTCTTTGTTTAATTGCTGGAACTCTCTTTCTATCACTGTTAGTGTGTAACTCCCTAGTTTGCATTTTTTTTGTAAATATTTTAATTTTCATAGACAAGATTTTAACGACCTTTTAAAAATGTCTGCTGTCATGAGTTTCTAATTTCTCATTGCATTGCATTTTAAATAGTTATGCTACAAATTAATCCTCGCTTGAAATTACTTTGTGGGATGTTGATACTTTTTTCAAACTGACTGTGTGTATATATGACTTCAGGTCACCTGTTGACTTATAGTGACCCATAAATTTAATAGGGCTTACTTAGACAAGGAATACTCAAGGTGTTTTAGCCAGTTCCTACAATAGCCTTGGTTTAGTCATATTGGCTTCTAGGGAGAGTTCAGAGAGTATAGAATGCCTCCAAGCCAAGTAACTGCCAACAAGGAGGAAGTCACAGAGAATGGGGCCACATCTTGGGTGGAGAATTGCCTGGTCAATACAAAAAGCCAAAGACTACACTCAATAGAGCATTGATACATTTTGGAAGCACAATGCACAGAATAATTCGCCATCACACATCTCACACCACCCAAGGATGTGTAACTCCATGTGAAATACAGTAGACTTTCAGGACCTATCTACACTGTCCTAGAAAATCCAGATTATCTGCTTTGAACTGGATTATATGGCAGTGTGGACTCATACAATCCAGTTCAAAGCAGGTCTGCAGCATCCAGTATGCATTCATGGTCTCTCATTCAAGCTGTAATTGGGGCTGACACTGCTTGGCTTCCACGATCAGACAGGATCTTGTGCTTTTCATGTATTTAGGCCTGTTTCACCAAAATTCTTTGGGGGAGAATTTTCTAGGACTGGGCTCACCCTTAGCAATAGCTCCCATATTTGCCTCCAGTTCCTACATGTGGCAACAGCTGTGTTGTTATCCTTTCCACATCTTGCATCCTCCAGTTTAGAAAACTCTGTGAATTTGTCTTCTTTACTGTGTGGTGTTAGAGAAAGATCAGGAATGGTCTTATGAATATCTTGTTCTTAAGATCTTCTTGGGATCTTGTGAGAAAAGTTGTAATTATAACTAATTTGTAACTGATCCAGTAGTTTGAGTGTTGGACTAGACCTAGGACCATGATTCAGATCCCTGCTTGGTCTTGGAAACTCACTGTCAACTATTAAGAAATTAATATCCTCTCAATCTTCTCTTAATAGATTTTCTGGAAAACCATGATATGTATTCCTTCAGATCTCTGTAAGTTGGAAGCAAATGGAAAGCACACATCAGAAGAGCAGGCCTAGTTGTAGTCATATTTAGGCAATAATCTGAAGGCAGACACCCTCAGATACACTCAGAGCACCAGATCTCATCCAATTTTGGAAGCTACAAAGTATCTAACTTGGTTAGTATTTGGGTGGGAATTGCCAATGACCCCAAGGTGCTGTAGGCTACATTTCAGAGAAGGAACTGGTAAAACCTCCTGTGAGTATTTCTTGCCAAAGAGAACCCTATGAAATCCATGGAGTCACCATTAATCAACAGGCACATTACACATGCACCAGTATGAAGACACAACAATAAAAGAAAGACTTAAGTGAACAAAAAGATAGTGTGGGGGAGCAAAAAAGGTTTTCCCTAAGTCTTACTCAATATTCTTCTTTTATTACAGAATCTGTCAACATTTGAAGACACTTGAGGCAAAGTATACTTCCAGCACTAACCAAGATATGATTGAAAGAGCTTGATTTTGAAGACTCTCTCCATACTAAGATTCACACCCTGATTTTTTTAAAAAAGAAGAACAGAGAAACAGAGGGGAAAATCTGGGACTCCATCTGCAATAATAACATAATCTTGATTCATATGCACCCCAGCACCCCTATCAGTTCTTTGTTCTCCTTCACCAGCCCAGCTGTGAAACGACTGCTGGGCTGGAAGCAAGGAGATGAAGAGGAAAAATGGGCAGAAAAAGCTGTTGACTCCTTGGTGAAGAAGCTGAAGAAAAAAAAGGGTGCCATGGAGGAACTGGAGAGGGCACTCAGCTGTCCTGGGCAGCCCAGTAAGTGTGTGACAATCCCACGCTCTTTGGATGGAAGATTGCAAGTGTCTCATCGCAAAGGCCTGCCGCATGTCATTTACTGCCGAGTGTGGCGTTGGCCTGACCTGCAATCACACCATGAATTAAAACCACTGGAATGTTGTGAGTTTCCATTTGGCTCAAAACAGAAAGAAGTGTGCATTAATCCTTACCATTATCGTCGTGTGGAAACTCCAGGTATGTAAATCATTTTGCACAAACTTGGGTGAAGGATAGATGTGGATAATTGTTCTGCTTGTAAAATCACAACAAGAAAAGTAAGACCTGAACTTCAGTTGGTCCAAAGAGCTGTGGCTAGGTTGCTAACTGGGGCAACAGGGAGTGGACAACCCCCTTGTTGCAGCAGTTCTACTTGCAGGCAGTTGGTTTCCGAGCAAAATTCAAAGTGCTGGTTATGACCTTTAGTGCCCTAGACAGTTCAAGTCCAGGCTGTTTGGCCAACTGCATCCCCGTGTATGAACCTGCCTGGTCCCTGAGATCTTCAGGAGAAGTCCATCTCAAGCTCTATTGGTGGGAATGAGAGAGCAGGCCTACCTTCTCTGTGGCTGCCCCTTGACTTTGGAACTCCCTGCTCAGGGAAACCAGAATAGCTCCTTCCCTGATGTCCTTCCATTAGCTGGCTTTTAAAAAAGGTTTTAAAGATAAAGTCATGGGATGTTGTGGTTTTTAGCTTTTCATATGTTTTTTATGGATTTTAACTGAATTTTTAAATAACCATTAGTATTTAATTCTGTTTTAATGTTTGTATGTTTGTAGATTTTAAATTGTATTGAAATAATGTTAATGTAAGCCGCTTTAAGTCCTCTTGTAGAGGGAAAAAGTGGGATATAAATAAACATAATAACAACAATAACTGCTAGGCCATTAAATGCTAATCAGTGTGGTCAATTGAAACATTCACATGTATCTCCAACAGACAAGAGTTCTTTCTCCCACCCTGGACATTCCACAGATTCATAAACAGACCTCACAACCTCTGAGGATGCCTGCCATAGATGCAGGCAAAACGTCAGGAGAGAATTCTTCTGGAACATGGCCATACAGCCTAAAAAGCTTATGACAACACAACAAAAATACTAAAGGAGATGTTCACAGAAGGTGCTTAAAAAAGAAAAGAAAACAGGCCAGTTCTTTAATGCAGTGTGATTTTGACAGGAATAACAAGTTTACAATAATGATGGATACCAGGTTAAAAATAAAACTGGCACAGGGCTCCTGCCCTTTTCATGGCTGTGTAGAAAATGGCATGTTGCTTATCACAAAAACTACTTGCTGAAATTCCTTCTGTGCAACCATTCAATGGTCAGCTTCCATCACATGTTTCCATCACTTTTCCCAGGCATCACGTCAAGCAACTTCGTAATTTTTGAATGTACATCTTGCATTGAATTAAGTTTAGACTATGTTTCTTTGAGTATACTAACTTACTTCATAGCATTCTTGGAGTGGAATAGAGAATGTGTTCCAAGTTGCATTAAAAACCCAAAGATCACATGACTTCAGCTTTCATCTTGTATCTTTCTTGTTTACAATGCATGGTGTCTTTAGCAACATTGTATTTGAGTTGACAACAGGTTGGTCATTTGCTTGATCTGGTGCTCTGGTTAGGAAGAAAATTATCCTGGTATGCAGGTGAAGCATTGGGATCATCCCTTCCTGCATATATATCAGGAGTCCCCAAACAATGACCCATGGGTCAGATGCAGCCTTCCAAGTTCATTTACCCAGCTCGTGCCCTAAACGTTAGACTAAGTCTGTAATGACTTGAAAGCAAACAACTGGCTAATTAACTTGACTATCTCATCAGTCAAAATCAGGCTCACACTTTCCACTGAAATACTAAAAAGTTTATGTTGGTTAAAATTGTTCTTCATTTTAAATATTGCATTGTTCTTTAATTCTTTTGCACTACAAATAAGATGTGTGCAGTGTGCATAGGAATTCATTAATTTTTTTCCAACTATAGTCCACCCCCCACCCCCACCCAAATAGTCTTAGTGACCATGAATTAGCTCTCACCTTTAAAGGTTTGAGGACCTCTACTCTAGATCTTCAAGTGTTTTGGACTTCAAATCCCTGAAACTTCAGCTATCTTAGCCAATCAGGATTCTGTAACTTGAAGTAGAAAATAGCTGGAAGACTAAAGTTTGTGAAACACTAGTGTAGATCATACCTGATGATGTTTGGAAGCCATAGTAATGCTATTGGGTTTCTGTGGGATTTCATAGCTCTTGTTTCTAAGCATGACAGATGTCTTTACCCAGGCTAGTCCCCGAACTCCCACCTCTAGGAATCCTCCCACTCACCTTTCCCCCAATCATACCCTTGATGGATTGGATTGTTGGGCCTCAATTGTGGACTTGTTTTTGCATGGACGTGTCTCTTCTTTCATTTTTTTTTGTGTGTGGCCTGATTTCACTTCAGACTTCCCAGCAGCAAGTTTAAGACAACAGCAGTTTTTAATTAATATGGAACAAGAACCCAAGCAGCTGGAACTTTCAAGCAGCAGGCAAAAAAAAAAAATCAAGTAAAATTGTATGTCACATTCACAAAATCATTTTTGTAATACAGTAAAACTGTATTACATTAGGTTTAGTGAGTGTGTTTTATTTGTGTTTATTTGCTTTTAATTACTGTATTTCAATATTATCAGGTCAATAGAGTATGTGTGGTAAGGTATAGTATGGGGTATAGCATTAGGCCTATTTTCAATAGTAACTCTCAAACAAACAAAAACTACTTTTACTTGGCATCTACAAATCTCCATGGGTACTTGTTAACTGAGAGTCTACTATAGAAAATGTTAACTTGGAGGAGATTACTAGAATGGTTTGCCTATTGTTTTTTCAAAGACTATGTGGGATTTTCCTGTTGATACAACTGGTTGTTCTCCTAATGGCTCTGGCTTTTGACTTGTATTTGACTTGCAAAGCCCTAACTTAGGATGGCAACCAAAAGACAAGATAAGGTGTCAGCTGATCAAACCAGAAAAGTAAGAATGTTTTATTTGTGTTTAATTGTTTTTAATTACTGCATTTCAATATTATCAGGTCAATAGAGTATGTGTGGTATGGTATAGTATGGGGTATAGTATTAGATGGCCAGAGAGTAGTTTTGGTTCTATATTCTTCTTCCTCCAAGTTAAAGCATCTTACTTTATGGTGGAGCTGGAGAGTGGGTGGGTAATGATTTACAGTAACTAGTTGGAATGATAACTAGAGCGACAGGAGGAACACCAATGAGTCCAACTGGACATGGATTAAAATTCATTATAGAGTCTACTCTGTAGCAGTGATAATATTAAATCTTTATTTTAAATGAATAATTTAAGATAAATTAGCCTTATCACAGTGAAGTTTTGACTATTGTGATTTTTTCCCCTTTTGTTTGTTATTCCTATATCACTGCTCAGATTGTTTTTATATTGGTTCATTTTGAGAACCAAGATGACATCCAGCTGTCAGGGTCACTGACCAAAAAGCACAATAGAATAGAATATGGATAAATACCCAGCTTATCCAATTTGGGGCAACCTGGACAAAATGTTAAAGAGATCAGTAAATAAGTCTTCCATCTTTTTGACAGCTTTAAGTATGATCTAACCGTTCAGTCCTGCACTGTGCTTCTGATATAAATCACAAATAATCCAAACTGGCATTTGTTTTCATAAGTTAGTTGAAGTGTTGTGATAGAAAACAATTTTGTGATTGTTTTGCTATGAATAATAGTTATGACTCAACTCATGGTAAGAGGTAAACAGGTTCAGAAGTGACGTGGAAAATCTGGATTCGTTTTCGAGTTCTCCCCATAATGAAAAAAATACACTTTGCCACAAGTGCAACTTCATCCAGATGAACTCAACTGACATTCTTACTTTTCTGGTTTGATCAGCTGACACTTTATCCTGTCTTTTGGCTGCCATCCTAAGTTAGGGCTTTGCAAGTCAAATATGTATTGTGTTGGGGAAAACAATGACAGCAGTTGGCTAGAACATTTACTGGTATTTGTTTTTGTCAGTTATAGTGATCCTTGTGGACTGTATAGTAGCTGAATTAGTAAATAACTTTTTCATTCACATTCTTTTTAAAAACCATTGTGAATCTGTGTCTTTTAGTGTTCCTAGTACTTGTTCTTGTCCAAGGTGCTGAATCTTCGAAGGCTTATGTTTACTCATTTGCTGGCCTTCAAATTCCTTGTCCATTTATGACAATTCCATGAATTTCATAGTGTTTTTTTAGGCAAGGAATTCTCAGAAGTGAGTTTGTCAGTTCCTTTCCCTGAAATTTAGCTCATTGCATTTGGTATTCTTTGATGGACTCTCTTCCAAATACAAATCAGGCTGCCACACTGAGCTTCCAAGATCAGAGAGGATCTGGTGTATTTAGGGTATTTAGTCTAGTTGACAGTCAATATACAAACTGAAGATTTTTCTGTATATGGAAGAAATGTGGTCTGTATGTGTATATGGCCATCAAATCAGATACAACATAATAATTAACACCTACATATACAGAAATATACTTTTTCCTGCTATACACAGAACAGGAATCATGATCATCTTCAGCCTAGATAAAGCTATTATTGTGGACACTGTATTCTACCATCATTTGTCCAGTTGATCTCAGCCATTTCTCCTAAGTTATGCCAGTAAAAAGTCTCCAGAGAGAATTTTATAAGGGTGCAGTAGAAATCTAAAAAAATAAACAAAAACAAAACAATACAATTTTACTGCACCATTCTTTTTTAAATGATTGACAAAACCTGTTAATGATTTAGATATGAGAAAGTCTTGAGGGCCTATAATTTGAGCATGCTTCGTCCTCTTCATCCTTAATTGGTAAGGACCCTCAAGCAAGTAAATAGCAAGAGACAGGAGAAGAAACAATCAGTTATGAAAAGATAATGTGAGATTTTGTGTGTGTACAAATCCCCATAGGAGATCCATGATATTACAAGGCTTAAGGGAATTTAGATATTAAAATGCAACATAATTAAACATACAAAAGATCAACATTAAAATGTAATGAAGGAATCAACAATATTTAAAGACAGTAGAAAAAATGCAGTTAAGAAGTGGTTTAAAAACAGTATAGCTAAAACAGCACCTTCATAGGAGTGCTTTCTGTAAACACCTTCAATTTCCAGAGGTTTGTTGGAATGAAAAAGGCTTTGTCTGGCTTTTCTACCTTCCCTATGAAAAGAGTTCTGGAGCTTAGGAGCAGCCACCAAAAATACCCTATTCTTACAAGTATTATCATTAACTTTCCCTGTGAAGATTTCTATTAACTGCCTATGACTTCAACTTAACGATAAGCTTATGAATGAGATACCTTCATGTCACCCTGTCTTCATCAGTCCTACTCAGAGGTTGAAGACTTAGGCCTATAGGTTTCTTGATTGAGTTTATCCATCTGGAATGTGGTCTTCCTCTTTACTTCCTTCCTTCTACTTTGCCGCACATTATTATCTTTTCTAGTCAGTCATGTCTTATAATGTGTCCAAAGTATATCAGTCTCAATTTAGTCATCTTGGCATCTAGGGAGAGTTTAAGAGTGACTTGCTCTAGGGCACATTTATTTGGGTTTTTTTTAAAGCATTCTACAGTATTTGTAGAACTCTTCTCCAGAACCACATTACACATGAGTTGATTTTCTTCTTAACATACATTTTTACAATCTGGTCTTACAATTATACACAGAAATGGGAAATATGATGACATGACATGTCTAGTTTCCTCATAGCTACCCTTCCGAGTCTGGAAAGTCTTGAAATATTTCTGTGTTTTGATTGTTAGCTTTCGGGTTACATAAACCATCTGTAGTTTTTTTTTTCATTGGGACATAAACTTGGATTATATTTATACTGATGGATTTTCTCTGAAGTGTTATTAATTTGATTCAGTCAGTTTTGATTCCAGTTAAATAGTAATAAAACCAAATCAACATTTGTTAGCATTTGGGAGATGAAGTCAATATAAGAATTATTAATATTAAAGATGAATAAATGTCCCATTCATTCCAGAAAGAGTTTTCATGGGGAAAAGGTGTCTACCCAATCCTTGTTTCCACAACAAGTCAATTTTTTAAAAAATCCAATTATCACAAGGACAGAAAGTGAGGTGAAATCTTCTGTATAGGGGCACAGATAGCAAAACAAGCATCACGGGGGCATTAGCCCTTCCCTATGCTACAGAAAGCTAAAAAAAAGATATGTATTTGGCTGGAGTTACACTTAAAACTATACCTGTTCCAACTTATATACAAATTCATATTAAGAACATACTTGCAGAATGGTTCTAGTTTATAATTTGGGGACTGCCTGTACTAAAATGTGACATTTCCTCTCTCTTGTTCCAGTTTTACCTCCAGTCCTGGTTCCAAGACATAGTGAATTCAACCCACACCTCAGTCTCCTTGCCAAATTCCGGAATGCATCCCTTCATAGTGAGCCACTGATGCCTCATAATGCTACCTACCCAGAATCTTTCGAGCAAAATCCCTGCCCTCCTTTCCCAGCATCACCCAACATGTATTCTCAGTCACCTAACAGTATGACCTACCCTGATTCTCCAGGAAGTTCCTCTGCGCCGGGAAGTCCTTACCAAATCACAGGTAAGAAATGACCCCAAAAGCTTTCCAGTGCTGATGAACGTGTCCACAATGACTGGGAACATGGTGCTGCAACATTCCAACAGTTACTACTTTGTGCTACCCAAATGATGTAAAAGTGTCCAGTGCATATACTTTGGGTAGTGAGAGTTGTTTTGGATAATAATTTCAGGTGAAACAGTCTGTAAAATATTAGGAAAATATTAAAAGTTACAACTTTGAAATTTTTCAAGTTGTAGACTAAAAAAAGTAATTTTCCAAATATATGAGTTGAATACATAGTTGGGAGGAAGCTGCACTGTTGATGGAGAGACTTGTGCATTTCTCTTAAAGATCTTTAGGAGGCTTCGCTATATGCATTCTGTCGCCAGTATAAGTTTCTCAGTTCCATTTGTTTTGCTTTGACAAGTCCCTGAGTTGTAAGAAGACCCATTCACTTTTTCCATAACTGCTGAAATTTACTTAGGAGATTTTGATGAGTCTTTTTTCAGAAATGTTTGTTGGCCCTACAAAAATTCCAAAAGAGTGTTAATGTAAAACCTGTGCTAACCCATTGTCACTGTTTGCTCTTATGTAGCTCTAAACAGGTGTTCGGTTATAGCATATCCAGTTCCATTACTAGTTGCTAATGGAGAACAATAAGGAAAACAATATATTTCCATGTACAAAAGACTTAAACAGTTTATTCAGCACTGAAATAGAATGTCTGCATGATGATTATGTGTGTTTAAGAATTACAGCTTTGCTACACTGACCAACACACATTTGGGAATGTCAAATGTTAGCCCTGTTTCTGGGAATATTTGATCTTCTGATTCCAAAGATGACACCAGTTTCCCCCATCAGCTCTAGTTTTTGAGGTACAGAACATATGCCATCTACCAGTTACCATCTGTTTGCCCATTTAAAACCATGGCTGTGGTAGCGCAGCGGGTTAAACCGCTAGCTGCAGGAAATCTGCTGACCAGAAAGTTGGCAGTTCAAAGCCATGAGTTGGGACTGAGCTCCTGACTGCCAGTCCTAGCTTCTGCCTGCCTAGCAGTTCGAAAGCATGCAATGCGAGTAGATCAATAGATACCACCTTGGTGGAAGGTAAAGGGGCGCCCCATGCAGACAAGCCGGCAACACAATTGGAGATGTCTATGGACAACAGGCTCCTTGGCATGGAAAAATGGAACAAGAGCACCTCCCCATGGTCGGAGTTGAGCATCTCCTCCAGACGCTGGAGATTGAAAAAAGGGGGAAGGCCTTTACTCTTGTCTGTGTTGTATGTCATTGTTCACTGTGTGTAAAAGGCATTTAATTTTGCCTCATATGTGTATTGTAATCTGCTCTAAGTCCCACCAGGGAGATAAAGCAGAATACAAATAAAGTGTTTTTGTTGTTGTTGTTGTTGTTATGATAACCACATGTAAGAAACTAGAGCTGCTGAGGTTACAATTTTCTAAATCAGTGCCCCACATTACTCCAGGATCAAGCCTAAAACCCCAGAACCCAAGAAAAATTAGCATGGGGGTGGGGGTGGACTGGGGTGGGCTATGTAATGCATTTTGTGAATTTGGGATGGAAATTAGACTGACCAGTCTACAAACTTCCAGATCTTCCAGAAATATTTTTTTAAAAAATTGTTGACCACTCTGTCTCTCCGGAATTATCATTTTAACCAGTAATTCATTCACTATAATCTGCCATTCTATGTTCCCTATTCTATGGTATGTAGTCTTTCTCCTTTTTTTCAGTGCAGAAAGTGTGTTAGCAATACCTGCTACTGCATTTTACCCATATGAAGGAATCTTTGAGCTGGATAGATAAATCACACTGTTGAAACAAATGTTTTGTCTTCTTCATGCATATTTAGATGACAAATTTGCAAACTCAAAACCAATCTGTTTTTAGAAAATATTGTATATGCTAGACAACTAAAGCAATGTCTGGTTTCTTCTTCTTTTTCCTTAGTTGAAACCCCTCCTCCACCTTACAATGCAAGAGAAACATCAGGACACCACAATGGACGATCTGTACACTCAGTTGCAGACAGTCAGTTACTTCTGTCATTGCCCAATGGAGGTAAATCTGATGATGGCAAACCTGAAAGTATGTACATATTTGTGTTGCATTGTTTTCTGGGTGGGTGGGGCAGCTGGGACAAGGCCATTTGAAAGGCTTATGTCAGAAAAATATCAAATTTTATAGCTTTCATTAAAGATGATCTTTTACAAAAATCCTTCCAAATGAGGTATTAAAATTACGTTTTTCTGTATTGGAGGAGCTGTATTGTTATTACAGCAGAGTCTTGCTTATCCAACATAAATGGACCGGCAGAACATTGGATAAGCAAAAATGTTGGATAATAAGGAGGGGTTAAGGAAAAGCCTATTAAACGTCAAATTATGTTATGATTTTACAAATTAAGCACCAAAACAGTGTTTTACAAAAAATCGACAGAAAAAGCAGTTCAGTACAAGGTTTATTTAAATAAATAAATAAATAAACATGCCAATGTTATGCAGTAATTACTGTACTGTATTTATGAATTTAGCACCAAAACATTGCAATGTATTGAAACAGCTATGGAGCCAGACAGAGATAGACTGTATTGGATAGTATAGAACATTGGATAAGTGAGACTCTACTGTACTAGAATATAGATAGGTTTGCTGTCTCTGAAGTTGTTTGATGACTTAGTCTTGTGTTTTCAAAACTTGGTGGTAAGATTATTAGTTACATGTATATTGGGTTTTTTTTTCCTTTAATGAACCAAGGATGTTATGCATACTTCTCTACCCAACATTTATTTCATAAGCACAAGCAATCTATACAGGAGGTCAAACTGGTCCACAAGCACCCAGTGAAGTTATGCCTTTGCAAATGCTAGAAACTAGATCAGGCATGGGCAAACTTTGGCCCTCCGGGTGTTTTGGACTTCAACTCCCACAATTCCTAACAGCCTAAGAATTGTGGAAATTGAAGTCCAAAACACCTGGCTAGCCAAAGTTTGCCCATGTCTAATCTAGATCTCTTAAATCCCAGTCCAGCTTGCACTGTATACCAGCAATTATTTATTAAACAGATATATCAGAGTTCAAGAAACTGAGATCCTCAAGTTACATTTTGGGTCATGTCCTGTAGAAATTGAGAGAAGACCTTTGCTCTGTCTCTTACTACAAAGGTTATCTTACCATGATTAATACTATTTGGTATCTCTGATATCATGTATACAGTGGATTTAAAAAAATAGAATAATTTACCATGTATTGTTATAGGCCTATTTGGGAAGCTCAAGACCACAGTTAAATTAAGCATGTAGTGAACCTACATAACATTATGTAGCTGTGAGTTTCTCCGGTTGGATCCACACTGCCGTATATTCCAGTTTCAGAATGCAGATTAATTGTATTTAACTTAATTATATGGCAGTATAGATCCAGCCTCAAAGTATTCTGCTAGCAGTGGTTCTCAAACTTTAAAGACACAGATTTCCTTTTGAAGCAAAAGTTTCTTGTGGAGCCCCAGGAAATGTTTATGTAATATATTATATATTATAGTATATATAATGTATATATATCAGACATGGGTCAGGTCAGTGGCAGATGGATGGAGAGTGTATAAATTAATTCAGATAATGCAAAAAAAAGGGGGGGGAGAACAATACAATATTTAAAATGAAGAACAAATTTAACCAACATAAACTTAACAGTATTTCAGTGGGCCATTCAGTCCAACCCCTTCTTCCATAAAGGAAAAACAAAATCAAAGCACTTCCAACAGATGGCCATCCAGCCTTTTTAATAATAATAATAACAACAACAGCAGCAGCAGCGGAAAACCCAGCAGCTATGCAGTCCAATCCCCTTCTGCCATAAAGGAGAAACACAATCAAAGTACCCCCTGAGTGGTGGGAGGGAAATAGGGTTTTGGAAGAAAAGAGCGGGTGGGTCTGAGCAGTGAGGAAAAGATTCTGGGCAGTGAGGGAGACAGGGAAGAAAGCGTATGTTCCCCGGGAGGTTGCTACTGCTGCTGCTGCTTCTAGCAACTCAAAACTTTAATTTCTATGCATTTCTTGGGAGGCAGAAAGAAGAGGAGGCAGGAAGCAGCATGGTGCCACGAAGCCCCTTATTATCACCAGTGGAGCTCCAAGGGCTCCATGTAGAACAGTTTGAGAACCCCTGTGCTAAGTAATACTTTGTTTTCTTTGACTTATCTTCCACACATTTACAGCAAACACACTAAATCTACTGGGATTTAAGTTGGTTCTCATTAACTTACTTCCCATTCTTCATTCTTGATTCTATGATTACATCCCTTAAACTATTGAAAAAGCTTTGTATCTTGTACTTTGAGCAAAGGAAGACTTCATTTGCTGTTCATCCTCACAAGCATCTCTGATTATCCTGGTTATGTTTTTGCAAGGTATGTTAGGTTCTGGACAAGGTGGAATTGAAGTAGATTACTGTTCTTTTCTGTACCTACCCTTTCCACCCCTGATATTATTTCAGATATGAATTGCTCGTAAATTTGATAAATGTGTGATTTAGAGGCAGTTGCAGTGGTATATCAAAACATATCATAACACTTCAATATCACACAAGTAGTAGCAGAGCTTGGGAGAATTAAGTGTTTTAGGCAATTTCCAGTGACCATGGAACTTTATATTAGTAAATGGCATCAACACCCTGAAGCATGCGTGTTTATGTTAGTAATATGGATCATGACTGCATATTTTCTTATCCCAGAAATGAAGCCTTATGGATATATCAGATGCATAGACTGTACATACTGAATGGTGTGTCAGAGTTTTCAAGTTGGAAAATATTGGGATGGAGGGGAACATTTTCTGTAGGTGGCATATGTGATTGAACACTTGGTTATATGATGGTATTGTTCTTCCTTTCTCCATTACTCTTCCATTTTAATTAATCCTGGATCTCTCCTTCCAGACTTCCGGCCTGTTTGCTATGAGGAACCACAGCACTGGTGTTCGGTGGCATACTATGAACTCAATAACCGAGTAGGAGAGACTTTTCAGGCCTCTTCTCGGAGTATACTTATTGATGGCTTTACAGATCCTTCCAACAATAAAAACAGGTTCTGTCTTGGACTGCTGTCTAATGTAAATAGGAATTCTACTATAGAAAACACTAGAAGACACATAGGAAAGGGTAAGAGCAAGAAAATTGTTTTATTGCAATAAATAAATGTACTTTGAAGTATTAAATGATCCAGAACTTGAATTTTCCAAAAGGAAACTGTGGACATTTTATGTTAATGAAAAAAAGCAAACACCACATTTTTTCTGAAAAAAAATGTGGGCAATTGGTCTGATTTTTGTTTTGTGGAAATAATAATAATAATAATAATAATAATAATAATAATAATAATAATAATAAAATTTGGATTGGCAAGAGTTTTGGAGCATAATACTCCTGACCTCACGATCGTGGAAAAAACTAAATATGGATTGTCAATGTTGCAATCCCAAGTGACAGCAGAATTGACGAGAAGCAACAGGAAAAGCTTACACGATATGCGGATTTAAAGATTGAACTGCAAAGACTCTGGCACAAGCCAGTAAAGGTGGTCCCAGTGGTGATCGGCACACTGGGTGCAGTACCTAAAGACCTTGGCCTGCACTTGAAAATGATCAACGCTGACAAAATTATCATATGTCAGCTGCAAAAGGCCATCCTACTTGGATCTGCAGACATTATTCACTGATACATCACATAGTCCTAGACACTTGGGAAGTGTCCAATGTGTGATCCAATACAAAAGCCAGCATAGTGATCTTGTTTGCTGTGTACTAATCTTGTTGTGTATCAGATAATAATAATGATAAACTTTATTTCTATCCTGCCATATCTCCCCATGGAGCGATAGAATATAATAATGATGATGATAATAATAATAATAATAATGCATTAATTATACTACTGATAATATATAATAATATATAGTAATAATACTGTTTTATTACTATATATTTGGATATTTTAAGTTGTACTGTAATGTTTTTAATTGTGAGTTGCTTTGAGTCTCCGTAGGGAGAAAGTGGGATATAAATAAAAATTCACAACAAATATCTTAAAACATTTCATTGTTTGTGGTTTGATTGAATTGAATACATTCAGCAATCATTATTGAGAGATTGTTACACATTCACTACTGATAATTCTAGATTGGCATCTGATAGGTGCTTTTAAAATGAGAAGGTTTGTGCAGGAAGCTTGGATAGGAAAAGGCCTTCTGAGTGATTTGCAGTTTCCTAAAATTGGTGGTTATTTTGCTAGTAGTTTCCCTGTGAGTTTTAGAGGATGTCTATAAAACTTTTATTCAATTTCTGCCTTTTGTTCTGATATTGCAGTGTGAGTAGCCATTGCAACTGGTAGCTTCTGAGTCAGTAAGATAATGATTTTCCCCAGGGTTTTACTTCAAGCTTTAAAGAAGCTATCCAGGGTGCTGAAGTATATCCCCAACAAACCTAGCACTTTGGAAAACACTTTAAAAAGCTCATACTAAAACCTGGGAGAGACGCATTGCTCCACTGGCATGAAAGCCATAATCTGCTACTGGAAGGACGTTTCTGAAATAAATTAAGCTCAGAGACACATCTGCTTCATTAACTGAGATATATCTGCATTGCTAAACAAAGGGCCCTTCCACGCTGCCCCTTTATCCTAGGATCCGATCCCAGATTATCTGTCTATCCCAGGGTATCTGGCAGTGGAGACTCATATATTCCACTGGAATAAAGGGCAGTGTGGAAGAGCCCTTAAATGTGGAATGGCAAACACCCGAAACTGTGGAACATAAATGTTTAAGGCTGGATTTTTGTAAGAGCAAAGAAAGAAGATTATCAAATTAAAGTTCTGCTTAATCCAACATTCTCCATCGGGCAACCAGATGCCTATGGGAAAATCGTAACAGAACATGGACACAATAGTACCTTATTGCTCTTTTCCCCAGCAATTGGCATTAAGAAGCCTATTGCGTCTGATGCTAAAAGTAGTCATCAGTAACTTCATCCTCCTTGAAATCTGTTTGTGCATTCTTTACACATCATAGCATACTAAATTGGGAGGGTGTACGTTTTTCTGTTACATGTTATGTTTTGTTTTAGTGAACGGCAGCTCTTGCGTTAATCTGTGCTGAGATTTGCCCTTTTGTTTTTCTATTCCATTGAAGGTGTTCATCTGTATTACGTTGGTGGTGAGGTATACGCAGAGTGTGTGAGTGACAGCAGCATTTTTGTACAGAGCCGCAACTGTAACTATCAGCATGGCTTCCATCCGGCCACTGTTTGTAAGATTCCCAGTGGCTGTAGCTTGAAGATTTTCAACAACCAGCTCTTTGCCCAGTTGCTTGCCCAGTCAGTTAACCATGGATTTGAAGTGGTGTATGAGCTAACCAAGATGTGTACCATTCGGATGAGCTTTGTCAAAGTAAGGACTTGTCTCTCTCTCTCTCTCTTTGGTGATTGTTCAGTGTGTAGTGGCATTGTCATATTATTTACTATGGAGCATTTTGTAATTGCAGCCAGCTAAAATAACTCCTACAACGCTTGAGTTATTTAGGTGAAACTTGGAATGTCATGTTTTCGTATTTCCTTTCTGCCAACCTTTTAAAGAAAAGATGATTTGCAAAACCTAAAGACTAAAAACAGGAAGCCCTCTGCTTTTTCAAAGGTTGGGGCACAAGATCCCCCACAGAAGTGGGTAAAATCACGGATGAAAAAATTGCTATTTGTAGAAATCTCTAGGTTCTCCTGGGCGACTGTATGGACAACCTCTGTTAACTAAAGAATCACCCTGAAAGAACAAGAGATTTCTAGATAAGTGCTCTCTGAGAATCTTTTGGTCCTCCATAGTTACTCTATAGTCAGCTTGCATCATCCAGCATGACCTAGAGATTCCTAGAAAGAACACATTACTCAAATATGTGAACATTCAAATCCACAAAAATTAAACTCGCAGACATGGAAGGCTGATTGGTTTTATTTCAACATATGTTTCTGTATCTGAAGAAGTGGGTCTGACACCCACAAATGTTTATGCTTTGTATTAATCTTTAAGATGTCTTGAAACTCATTTTTATCTGGCATACCAAGCTTTATGTTCAGAAAATATTTCACAGGAAACTTTTCTGACCTGATTCTTTACTTCCTAGAGATCTTGCATCGGTTTTTTTTTTGGCTTGGTACTTTAATGTTTTGTCTATTTTTTCCAAATCCTGGTTTCAGTTCAAAATGAGTTCTATTCCACCTCTCTTTTTAATGCTTTAAGAAAAATGGAGTCCTTGCTAGTCCCTAGGGCTTAGTATGGACTTTGCAGCCTCCCAAAGCTGTATAAAAGTTTTGGGGAATTTTGCACAGCTCACTGAACTGTAATTAGTTTCCAAAAAATGGATGAAAATCCAAGAATAAATGCTGATGTTTATGCAGTTTGCTCAGTTACACATTGAAAGCATTTGCCTTTCAAACATCCACATTTAGCATTATAAAAGGCATTAAAAATTTCTCAGCTCTATTCAGATCAACTCTACACTTTCTCATTAACTGTTTATCTGCCAAATAATTCTGCATTCATGTACTAAGGAAAAGATACTGTTTCATGAAGTGTGTGATGTTATTTTACCCAAAGCTTTATTGGCTTGGCTTGTTCAAGTATGGCTTAAATCATAGTTCAGATCATCTTGTAGACTGTGTTCAGAGGAACAATAATGAAAATATCAAGATGATCATTGGCAGATTGTCCACTATCCAGGTAATATGTACTTTTGCTTAGTGGTGTCGTCTTAATATCAGTATACAGGATTTTTCCACAATATAGATACAGACATATACAGAAACTTGTTCTGATCACTTTCACACCACTTTCTGACTCTGAATGAGTCCTGCACATCCTAATTATAAGCAAAGATTCTTGTGTCTTAAAAACAATACTGTCCCATCTACAGTTGTTACCTTTGATAGAGAAACCTCTCAGAGATACAATAGTAGAACATATTTACCACTGTTAGCCCACCAAATTTCAGAACATTTCACCTATCCACTAATTTTTAGGGAATTTTCAAAGTTTTTATTAAAAAAACATTTTTAATAATAAAGAAAATCTGTTCCTGATTTGAAAGTGTTATTTCCTGTTTCATTGTGCGGTCTTTACTTTGAAAGTAGCTGTTTTATGCCAGAAATTTTGTTTTTGTGGCAGAAACTTGGTTACATTGGTGGAGACTTAAAGCCAAATGTTCTGTAGGGTGATGTCCCTTGTGCAAAGACAGAATTTTTGCAGTGTAATGCATTGTTTAATTGCTTTTACCTGTGTTAATTGTTTATGTGTTTTAACTGTTTTATAGTTTGATACGGTTTGTTTTATTTTTGTTTTATATGTGGCATTGAATTCTTGCTAGAGTTGTAAATTGTCTTGAGTTCCCTGCAGGGTGAGAAAAGTGGGGTATAAATGAAGTAAATCAATAAATACATGTGTATATTCCTGGAACCCCATTGTACAAAACAAATATAGATGAATTAGTTTTGATGAAATCAGTTCCAATGTTTATGCCACTGTAGGAAAGGCGAATCCAAGTACAACCAATGGCAACCTAGCCAATGATTTCCATGTCAGTGGGGAAATGAATCTGTTTCATAGTTTAGTCAGAACTTTTAAAGAGGAGATGCTGAACCTTAACAATCTCTGTCTCTCCCCAAGGAGTTTTATGTAATTACTATCATTCTTCTGATGGGTTGTTTACTGCCTCTAGCCATGTATGCTCAAATATGCATTTTTTTGTTTTCTAAAAATACCCTCCCTCCCAAGAAGCCCAGGGTGGTGTTCATGATTGCTTTCTCCCCTCTGCTGATTGCCCAACTTTGTGTTCACAACAACCCAGTGAAGTACTTCAATCCTTAAGATCTAAACTTGTGATGGGAGAGAATGTCTGACCCTCAAATCAAGTAGTGAGGCTTCGGGATACATAGAAGTTGCAACCTGAATTTTCCCAGCCCTATTTGGATGCTTAACACATGACAGCAATTTCCCATCTCCTTGTGGCGTAACTATTCTAAGAGGAGAGATGTTGGGAAATGTCCAGCTAGTCTCTACTGTGCATGAGTGTCTCCAGTTGAAAACTGAAGGAGAACATTTCCTCTGAGCCTGATGAAGGGAAGAAGATGGTGTATCTGCCAAGAATCCAGCAATCTCTGCACACTCCTTCAAGATGTGTCTTGAAACATAAATCAAAGTTACTGTCTACCATTCTGTAGAGGCTGCACTGACTGTCACATAACACTCTGAAAAAGAGACACGGTGACAGCCTTGATGTTAAATGTCTTGCAGAACAAGTACTAATACAAAGTCATCCTGAAACTTTGTTCAAGTCACCAGCAGATGGAGATGGTGAACCATTTAATGAACCAAAAGTTTAGTAATTTTCCTTGCTATGTTAGAACAAGTTTCATTAATAATAAGTCAGATATAACACTGAACACAATACAAAGCAGTTTTTGATGTAGGTGGTTACATCATTGTAACAAATCAGTTTCTAGAAGAGAAACTGTGTTTGATTTATGCAGAGGTGATAAAGCAGCATTTATTGAAAATGCATGAATCAAGAAACAAATATGTCAACTTTTGCACTTTAAATGAAAACAGTACTTTCTGGAAGAAGATGCTGGTATAAATAGGACAGAAATCATCTCATTCTTTGGCAGTTGAATATGTATATTTCCAGAAGTTTGATGGAATCCTATATCAGCTCCTTAGTTAAGCAACTTCTGTTGTACACACACCCACCCCTCTCCAAACCTGATGGAAATGTCATCCAAGGCTTCTTTCATGAATATCACAGACTGCTAAAATAACAAATAAATGGGTCTTAGAACAAGAGAGCCAGTAATGGCATACAGTAGTGGTTTGAACATTGGACTATGATTCTGAAGACTTGGTTTTGAAAATACAATTGCTGACCTTAGGCAAGTCATACACTCTTAGTCTATGTCAGAAACAGTTTGAAGGCACAGAAGAAAGAGAAGAGGAGGTGGAGGAAACAGAAGAAGGTGTGTTGTTGTTGTTGTTGTTATTATTATTATTATTATTATTATTATTATTATTATTATTATTATAGGGTGACTTTGGAGATCCATAGAATCACCATGGGTTGAAGAAAACTTCAAGACAGTTAACAACAAACTTAGTTAGGATTGCCACAATCGTAACTTCACCCAAGAATTGTTTTACTGGACCTCAGTTGCATAGGAAGAAGGAAATCGATTGTGCCAATGATTAGAGCATGGAGAAAGGACATGCTGGTTAGTTTTAGGGCCAGGCAGTGTGTGTGTCAGGAGATTTTACTTAGTTAAGTATACCTAACTAATTAACCGATACAGGATTCCAGCCATAATTGGATTGCAGTTCCCACCACTTCCAACTCACATTGTAAATGTCGAGGAATGATAAAAGACCCAAAATCCTCTGAATGGTCACACATTCCTGCAGTCATGCTGGCCACATAACCTTGGAGGTGTCTATGGACAATGCTAGCTCTTCAGCATAGAAATAGAGATGAGCACCCCCACCCCAGAGTTGGACATGACTAGACTTAATGTCAAGGAAAAACCTTTACCTTTGCCTTTAGTGCTAGGATTTGATCTAGGTCTTTTAAAAAGTTGCTTGAATTAGCAAAGATCTGACTAAGTTTACATTATTAGCTCTATTGGTTGCAAGTTGTGGGTTTTTAAAGAATATATATCCAGAGAAGGTGTTTGAACAGAAAGGAAAAATACCAATAAAAAATTGGTCCGGTATTACATCAATCAAAAGAGAGAACAACAACAACAAACTATTTCCAGGAATGCTCATAGATATTTATCTGTGGGAGAGCATTTTCCAGGCAACTAAATTAGGCTGTGTGAGTGTATACCTTCATCAGCCTACAGAATCAAGTGATGACTTGCCTGGGTGCAAGAGCAATGAAACATCAAATGATGCAAAGAATTTATTTATTTATTTATTACTGCGCTTGTATACCGCCGTTTCTCAGCCTACATTGGCGACTCAACTCGGTTTACAACATTACAATAATCAACAATATTCAAGATAAAAAGCATAAAAAAACATACACAATACACAGTATTGGGCCACCAATACAAACCAATGCATCTCTTAACTAAACAGCAGAGGAGTTGTATGCTCCCTGCGCCCTGCTCCTGTTAGTAACATGGCTGCCGCCCGTTGGACTAATTGGAGCTTCCGAGCCGTCTTCAAAGGCAACCCCACGTAGAGAGCGTTGCAGTAGTCAAGACGGGATGTAACCAGAGCGTGGACTACCGTGGCCAAGTCAGACTTCCCAAGGTACGGTCGCAGTTGGCGCACAAGTTTTAACTGTGCGAATGCTCCCCTGGTCACCGCCGAAACCTGGGGTTCCAGGCTCAGCGATGAGTCCAGGATCACACCCAAACTGCGAACCTGCGTCTTCAGGGGGAGTGCGACCCCGTCTAACACAGGCTGTAACCCTATACCCTGTTCGGCCTTGCGACTAACCAGGAGTACCTCTGTCTTGTCTGGATTCAATTTCAATTTGTTCGCCCCCATCCAGACCATCACAGCGGCCAAGCACCGGTTCAGGACCTCGACAGCCTCCTTAGTAGCAGGTGGAAAGGAGTGACAGAGTTGGACATCATCTGCGTACAGATGACATCGCACTCCGAAACTCCGGATTATCTCGCCCAGCGGCTTCATGTAGATGTTAAACAACATGGGAGACAGTATTGAACCCTGAGGAACCCCACAAGACAAAGGTTGTGGGGTTGAACAGGAGTCTCCCAGTAACACCTTCTGAGACCGACCCTCGAGGAATGAGCGGAGCCACTGCAGAACAGTACCTCCAAGACCCATCCCCGCGAGGCGTCCCAGAAGGATACCATGGTCGACGGTATCGAAGGCCGCTGAGAGGTCGAGCAGCACCCACAGGGACACACTCCCCCTGTCGAGCTCCCGACGCAGATCATCCACTATGTCTTTAGGCTACATCTTGTTACATTTTTAAAAGAAGTTTATACAGTTTTTATATAAGAAATAGATACAGTACATGGAAAGATACAAATTACACAGAAAGTTAAGGAAAGGAGAGACGATTTATTAAAGGGTTACTAAAGCTTCACTCTTTGTGGAGTGACGATGCTACTGATCTGCTCCCAATCTCTGATAGCAAACTTGCAAAGTTCAAAAAAGATTTTTTTAAATAATAAAAACAATATATTTATTGCAGAGTCATTAACAAAATAGATCTTCCGGGAGCGGGGGGGGGGGGGGGGG